AAATGACTGGCACTGCAAAACACAAATTCATGTAATATGCCTTGCAATAGTGCGTATTACCACAACACATAACGGAGGACTGTAAATGGGCCCTTACTGTAAGGTTACCAGATTTTCAAAATTAAATTTAGAGACATCCTACTGATCACATCTGCAAAACCATACCCTCATTTGTGGACACACCCACAAATTCACACACACCATTTTTTTTTTTTGCCCTGAAACAATTGGTCAGACTTTTGAAACAAGAGCCATGCTTTGAAAATATAAAGAAAATACCTGGGGTACCATGAGATTGGCAATTTGGGCGTGTCCAAATTGTGTTAGTAGTGGGTGGGGCTTAAAAGGGTATAGGTAAATAAAACCTCAACCTATTCTGCTATGAGTTGAGAGAGTGTACAGCAGAGTGCAGGGTCAGAATTGAAGGATAAGTTCAACTTCTGTAAAAATAAATAAAATAATAAATGCCCATCTTTTTTGCAGAAAAAAAATGTGCATTTATTATCCTCTTCAATACAGGGCCCTTTTACCCCCTTCCTGCCCAGGCCATTTTTCAGGTTTTCAGCTCTCTCACACTTTGAATGATAATTGCGCGGTCATACAACATTGTACCCAAACTAAAATTTTATTATTTTCTTCACACAACTAGAGCTTTCTTTTGGTGGTATTTATCACCACTGGGGTTTTTATTTTTTGCTAAATTAACAAAAAAAGACCGAAAAGTTTGAAAAAAAAAAACACGTTTTTCTTTGTTTCTGTTATAAAAGTTTGCAAATAAATAATTGTTCTTCATAAATTTAGGCCGAAGATGTATTCTGCTAAATGTCTTTGGTGAAAATAACCCAAATTAGGATGTATTTTTTAGTTTGTAGGAAAGTTTATAGAGTTCACAAACTATGGTATAGATCTGAAAATTGATCAATCCTGAAGTACTGACAGCCAATCTAATTTCTTAAGGTCCAAGAATGTCAGAACAGTACAGATATCCCCCAAATGACCCCTTTTTGCAGAGTAGACAGTCACGTACTTCATAACAGGCATGGCGAGTTTTTTGAAGTTGTATTTTTTTTGTCATAAATTTTCGGAAAATTAAAAAAAAAATTATTTTCACTATTTTTTTTTTACATACTGTCACCAGTGCAGTACAGCGTCATCATATAACTGGCATGGCGTGATCAGGGACACTGACTGGTGACAGTATGAAAAAAAAAAATTATTATTTTTAATTTTATTACTTTTTTTTAAGATTTTTTTTTTTTCATATTTCACTATGACCAAAGTAGTACAATGTTACCATAGTAACATTGTACTACTTTGGGGAAGTGATCAGTATTTTTTTTTTTTTTTTACACAATTTGCTTATAGCAAAGAATTACTTTGCTATAAGCAAGCATTTACCTGAATGACATCGATTCATTTAGGGGTTTTTTTTTTTTGTGCTTAGCTGTGATTTGGCCGTGGCTAATCACATGACACAGCTGGGCTGTGATTGGCTCAGCTTGTGCATGTGATCACTGTGACCATTCACAGCTAGACACACTTGTATACAATGGATGGCATGACAGGAAGCCATCCATTGTATACAACTGTCATGTGATCTGCTGTGATTGGTCACAGCAGGTCACATGGTACCGGCAACGGGGCCGGTACTCAGATCTGTCATCGGCCGTGTCCGAGGTACACTGCCAGTGACAGATCGCGCCGCTGCGCAGCTCTGCAGGCGCACAAACTGTGCATGCCCGAAAGGATGCCATATGGCATCCACCTGGAAAGGTGAGGGTTTTTGCTGGCCGCCATTCGGCCATAGGCCGGGAGGGAAATGGTTATTTTCTTACACTGCAGCTTGAAAAGCACTGCACCCGCAATTAGCTTGCAGGTACAATTCCAGGATCCTGCAGATTCTGTCAGCTGTCTACCTGTACTTCCCATACAGGCAGACAGTTACTGAATTGTAGGAAGAATCAATGAAATACAAGACCATTCACCAGTGCCTTCGTGAGAACTACAAGCCGTCTGCCACAATGGAAAATGGTACTTGTAGTTAATTTTTTCAATTCAAAAATGATGTTTTTTTTTCTGGTTATTAAATTGGTTCTTCAGTCTATTCTACCAAAATTAAAAGTCAGCAGCTACAAACACTGTAGCTGCTGACTTTTCATAAACAGACACTCCCCTGCCCAAGGATCCAGCACCATGCACTCCCGAGTCAGTTTTTTCATTGGTCTTCGGTCCCCGGCTCCGGAATCTTAACTGTGGGCAGTCAGCTGTGACTATTTGCTGCTTCACAGCCAGCATCCCGCCGTACTGGGACCAATGAATGGTTCAGCAGCCTTCTGGAACCCGTAATGTGTCCCAGAAGGAGGCAGGCGGGGGGGGGGGGGGGGAGAGATAAACAGCAGTTCCATTTAAATTCCACCAAATGAAAGCTCTCTTGGTCTCCAAAAAATGATATACAATTCATTTGGATGCAGCTGAGTAATTCTCAAACTATCAAAGCACTGAAACCTGAAAAATGGCCTGGTAATGAAGGGGTTGTAACATGCTTCTACTGAAAAAAAAACAGCTGTCCTCAGAACAAATGTCCCCATGGGAGTTTCTGCATACCTCCTGTTCCAGTGACAACTGTAAAATTGTAGAACTCCCATCACTTTCTTGTGACAGAACTAACGAATGCCCATTTACAGGCGCACACACACACAAAAAAAAAAGAATTTCTGTTAATATTTATCTTTTAGAGAAGAAACAGAATGTGTGCATTATAGCATAAGTTCAGCTTTTTTAAAAAAAATAAGTACCTTTTTTTTTTTTTTGCAGGTTAAAAAAAAACAACAAAAAAATGTGCATTTATAATTTTTTTTTCAGGAGCCTGCAGAGCATTGCACCCACGATCAGAAAATATCGGGTGCGATGTCCCGCTCTTGCAGACGGTCACAATGGGATGTAACATGTTACTACAGGTGAGCTTACAGTGCCTTGAAAAAGTATTCATACCCCTTGAATCATTTAGTCATGTTACAACCAAAAACGTAAATATATTTTATTGGGATTTTATGTGATAGACCAACACAAAGTGGCACATAATTGTGCAGTGGAAGGAAAATGATACATGGTTTTTAAAATCTTTTACAAATCTGTGAAAAGTGTGGCATGCATTTGTATTCAGCCCCCCGGAGTCAATACTTTGTAGATCCACCTTTCACTGCAATTCCAGTTGCAAGTCTTTTTGGGGATGTCTCTACCAGCTTTGCACATCTAGAGAGGGACATTTCTGCCCATTCTTCTTTGCAAAATAGCTCAAGCTCTGTCAGATTGGATGGAGTGTCTGTGAACAGTAATTTTCAAGTCTTGCCACAGATTCTCAATTGGATTTAGGTCTGGACTTTGACTGGGTCATTCTAACACATGAATATTCTTTGATCCAAACCATTCCATGGCTCTATGTTTAGGATTGTTGTCCTGCTGGAAGGTGAACCTCCACCCCAGTCTCAAGTCTTTTGCAGACTCTAACAGGTTTTCTTCTAAGATTGCCCTGTATTTGGCTCCATCCATCTTTCCATCAACTCTGACCAGCTTCCCTCTCCCTGCTGAAGAAAAGCACCCCTACAACATGATGCCACCAGCATGTTTCACGGTGGGGATGGTGTGTTCAGGGTGATGTGCAGTGTTAGTTTTCCACCACACATAGCATTTTGCTCTTAGGCCAAAAAGTAAAATTTTGGTCTCATCTGACCAGAGCACCTTCTTCCACGTTTGCTGTGTCCCCCACATGGCTTCCCATAAACTGCAAATGGGACTTCTGATGGCTTCCTTTCAGCAATGGCTTTCTTCTTGCCACTCTTCCATAAAGGCCAGATTTGTGGAGTGCACGACGAATAGTTGTCCTCTGGACAGATTCTCCCACCTGAGCTCCAGATCTCTGCAGCTCCTCCAGAGTTACCATGGGCCTCTTTATTATTATTCTACAGGATTTATATAGCGCCAACAGTTTGCTCAGCGCTTTACAATATAACGGGAGACAATACAGCAGCAATACAGTTCAATACAAGAGGGATAGGAGGACCCTGATCCTTGGAGCTTACAATCTAAGAGACTCTTGGCTGCTTCTCTGATTAATACTCTCCTTGCCCAGCCTGTCAGTTTGGTTTAACAGCCATGTTTTGGTAGGTTTCCAGTTGAGCCATTCCCTTTCCATTTTTGGATTGATGATGGATTCAACAGTGCTCTATGAGATGTTCAAAGCTTGGGATTTGTTTTTATAACCTAACCCTGCTTTAAACTTCTCTACAACTTTATCCCTGACCTGTCTGGTGTATTCCTTGGCCTTCATGATGCTGTTTGTTTACTAGTGTTCTCTAACAAACCTCTGAGGGCTTCACAGAACAGCTGTATTTATACTGAGATTAAATTACACACAGGTGGACTCTATTACTAAATTAGGTGACTTCTGAAGGTAATTGGTTCCACTAGATTTTAGGTAGGAGTATCAGAGTAAAGATGGTTGAATACAAATGCACACCACACCTTTTTAGATATTTATTTATAAAAAAAAAAGTTGAAAACCATTTTCCTTCCACTTCACAATTATGTGCCAGTTTGTGTTGGTCTATCACATAAAATCCCAATAAAATACATTTATGTTTTTGGTTGTAACATGACAAAATGTGGAAAATTTCAAGGGGTACAGGGGCGGACTGACAACTCATGGGGCCCCTGGGCAATAGGGGATCATGGGGCCCGTGTCCTCACCCACACTCAAACCACACCCAAAAAAGCCTATGAAAGGTACCAGGGACATTTCATGGGGCCCCCTACTGACCCCGGGCAGTGCCCGAGTTCCCCAATGGTCAGTCCGCCCCTAAGTATGAATACTTTTTCAAGGCATTGTATCCTTTCATTCACCGAGGAAATCTAATAATCTTCTAAGCAGTCAGCAATTCGCCATGTTTAGGAAATACATTTATTAGTATCCACAAGAATGCCAACCGCAGAGAACAAATCAATTACAGGATAGTCCATTTCTTGGTAGTATTTAAGTGATCCAAATGGTCAGCCAGGAATTTGTGTGGGGGGAATTTGGCCCGCTTTTGGGCCTTCAGCTCCTCAAACTGTCTCTGCCTCCTCTCTGTGGCATGCCGGAACTCCTGCTGTTTGGTCATGTAGGGCCGGCTAATCCAATACTCCGTCTCCGCTTCTATCTCCAGCTTCTTCAACATATTGTTCTTCATGCACCATGTGACCTCCCGAGGCCGTCTGTACTTGCCAATCCACTGGCGACCACCTATGCCTTTCCGCAGGACATTCGTCAGGAACATGGTCACTTTATACCTGAACAAACAAACAAGTTACCTTATTAAGTTATTAAAAACAAACACTGACTTTTTACAAGTGAGAAAGGAGATTTCAATGCTCTTTGTGTCCTTGCTGGGGAGATTTCAATCTTTTATTTGCTCTATTTTAGTCTGCTAAATATACCATTGACATTTTATTTTTTGCTTTATCTTTTCATAAGTGCGAGACATACCTGCTGATCCTGCCAGAAATTGTGTGAGCTGACCACTTCCTGTGCTTTCTGATTGAACGCAAGGAAGAGCTGAGAAGAGGAGGAGGAGAGGAAGAGATGAGGAGGGTTTATGGAGATAAGTAGGGCAAGCATGTGATGATGCAGAGGTGAAGGTGTTACAAGAAATAAGGAAGAGGACAAGATGAGGTGGTGTTATGGAGATGAGGAAGGGCAGGCGGTGATGATGAGGAGGGGTTATGGAGGTGAGGAAGGGTAGAAGGTGATGAGGAGGAGGAGTTATGGAGGTGAGGAAGGGTAGGAGGTGATGAGGAGGAGGGGTTATGGAGATGAGGAAGGGTAGGAGGTGATGAGGAGGAGGGGTTGTGGAAATGAGGAAGGGATGGAGGTAATGAGGAGGAGGGGTTATGGAAATTAGGAAGAAAAGGAGATGATGAGCATGGCTTATGGAAAGGAGGAAGGGGAGGAGGAGGTGGGGAGGAGGTGATGAGGGATGGAGAGGACTTGATGAGAAGGGGGATTATGGACATGAGGAGGGGTTATGGACATGAGAAAGGGAGGAGGGGTTATGGACATGAGAAAGGGGAGGAGGGGTTATGGACATGAGAAAGGGGAGGAGGGGTTATGGACATGAGAAAGGGGAGGAGGGGTTATGGACATGAGAAAGGGGAGGAGGGGTTATGGACATGAAAAAGGGGAGGAGGGGTTATGGACATGAGAAAGGGGAGGAGGTGATGAGGAGGAGGGGTTATGGAAATGAGGAAGGGGAGGAGATGATGAGGAGGGGGGGTTATGGAAATGAGGAAAGGGAGGAGGTGATGAGGAGGATGAGGGGTTATGAAAATGAGGAAGGGAGGAGGCGATGATGAGCAAGGGTTATGGAGATGAGGAGGTGTTATGGAAATGAGGAAGGGAGGAGGTGATGAGCAGGGGGTTAGAAACATGAGATGTTATGGAAATGAGGAAGGAGAGGTTATGGAAATGAGGAAGATGAGAAGGTAACAAGGAGGAAGGGTATGGAAATGAAGTGATGAGGAGTGGTTATGGAGATAAGGAAGGGGATGAGACGAGATGAAGGGTTATGGAGAAGAGGAGAGAGGACTGTGTTCTTTGTGCTTCATTAGAAATTATTATACAGAAATGAGGTAGGAATGGCTGACAACTTGCACTTTGGAATGCAGAATCAAAATACGCTGGGTTGTCATGTCAGAAAGGCAGGTAGTAGGCCACTATATTTCTTCTAGCGTGTTTAAAGGGACACACACACACTTTTTTTTCCCCCCCAAACAAGGGGGGAAAGGTCAGTGCGTCTTATGGAGCGAATATAAAGCGGCCGGTCCGGTATTTCTGCCGCCACCATGTCAGAATATCGGGCTGCACGATCAGCTCTCCTCTCCTGCAGGACCTTACCTGTTCCTCGCTCCAGCGGTACCCGCTCCCCCTCCCTCCCCAAAGGTCCGCAGTCTCTGGTCATCCCCTGCACTACGTCCGCAGTCTCTGGTCATCTCCTGTACTACGTCCGCAGTCTCTGGTCATCTCCTGTACTACGTCCGCAGTCTCTGTACTACGTCCGCAGTCATCTCCTGTACTACGTCCGCAGTCTCTGGTCATCTCCTGTACTACGGCCGCAGTCTCTGGTCATCTCCTGTACTACGGCCGCAGTCTCTGGTCATCTCCTGTACTACGGCCGCAGTCTCTGGTCATCCCCTGTACTACGTCCGCAGTCTCTGGTCATCCCCTGTACTACGTCCGCAGTCTCTGGTCATCCCCTGTACTATGTCTGCAGTCCATTGGTTCAGAATATTTTTTTTCTTGTTTTCCGCCTCTAAAATCTAGGTGCGTCTTATGGTCAGGTGTGTCTTATGGAGCGCGAAATACGGTATATATATGGAAATGCAATTATTATTATTATTATTACTACGAGTTTATATAGCGCCAAAGGGTTTGCTCAGCGCTGTACAATAGGGGGGACAATACATGGCACAGTACAACAACAACAAACAACGTACGAGGGGTAAGAGGTTTGACTGCATCCAGGCTTGGACACCCGTCGTGACTGCAGGTAACCACTTGTATGGCTACATGTGAACAATGACAGCTGCCGTCCTCCTGTCCATACTTTGTTCAGGCTGAGCAGCCTGTTTGCATGTACCTGTCATTCCATGTGCAGGAATCTGATGATTCTTTCTGCTGGAATTCTGTGTATGTGGCTAAATGGCCATGTGAAGGAGGTCAGATCGAGCTTAAAGTGGTATTAAATCCAAAAGCAAACATTATATTGCACCTTACCCATTCTTAGATGTGATGGCTGCATTAGTTTTCTTTTTTAGGCTCTCTTATTTTCACCTGGTGATCTGGCCAGCAAGTCTGTTGTTTTTCAACAGAACAAGCTGTCTTGCAGATGTTGCAGTTAGGGTTTTGAGACAAACCATTTACTACTGACAGAGATGCTTACAATGATCAGCTTTTATTTATGTAAAACCTTTATCCCAAAAAGATAACAAAAACGGTTTGCTGTAACTGATTATAAAGCATTAGCTGGAGTTTGGCTTCACTTTGTTAGTGTATTTAAATCTGCAAGTACAACACTCCCCGGATTAGCAATGCTGCTCTCCAAAGGTGCCCCTTCCTGCAGAGTAGGGGTACTCTAATACAGGAGGTGTCTTACTGGCCAGATCACCAGGTGAAAACAGGAGAGAAAAAAAAAGACTAACACAGAAGACAAATGCAGCCACCACATCTAATGACTGGTAAGCTTCAATATATTATGTTTTTGGTTTGGGGTTGAATACCGCTTTAGCTTTTGTACACTTGCGATAAAGTTAGAAAACAAAACGAAAAAGTAAACCGTACATCCCCCTTTCTCTCAACTGCCTGCCAAAATGGATAGCAACTTGAATGCTAAAGCGCAGCGTACAAACAGGAAGAGCTGATTGAGGTCCATCACCCTACCTGGACACAGCTGTGGTTACAGGGATCCCTCTGCAGGACATCACCCATCTATGTGGATTATCTTAGCCCAGGGGTCTCCAAACTTTCTAAACAAAGGGACAGTTTACTGTCCTTCAATCTTTAGATAGGCCGGACTGTGGCCAGTGGCAGTAGAAGTGTCTTGGTGTCAGTGGGAGTAAACAGTGTTCTCTTTTTGGTATTAGGTGGAACAGTGCCCTGCCGCGGCCCGTCAGCGCGGGGGAGGGGAGCAGTGCCCCGCCGCGGCCCGTCAGCGCGGGGAGGGGAGCAGTGCCCCGCCGCGGCCCGTCAGCGCGGGGGGGAGCAGTGCCCCGCTGCGGCCCGTCAGGTGATTCTCACTATCTACACATGGATGTGGTCCATAGAATGAGATGTTTTCTAATATACATCCTCAAGATGGTGGACATTGTCCCAAGAAATATGTTGGATGCTCACCACGTTAACACATGCAATATGCACTTATATCGTACTTTGTCACAATAATCCTGCCGACAGCGCCATTTGTTTATTGTCATAAAGCCCCCACTGACAGCGCTGTACTTTACTCCTCACAATACACTTGGCAGCAGCGCAGCCAGAGTCCTGGAAGTTCCAAAGTTTTAAAGTCTGCAGAGGTGCGAAAAAACGAAAACCTGTAAGTGCAAAACACAAACACAAAAAAGTGCACTTAAGGGTGCCTTTGTCCAACCCCCAAAGGGAGCTGATCCTCCGGGGTGCAAGGCTCCCGACAGGGACAAAGGGTTTCCAACATGGTCACCTAGCCAAAAGGGCCTTGCGGACCCTTTTCCTTGTAGCTAATAGAAGCCGACCAGCAAGTACTAGGTCAGGGAGCTCTCCTGAAGAGAGACCCCCTCCCCCAGGAACAGGGGAGTAAGGAACCTAAAGGCCACACATCTTTCCCCTAGACTTCAGGGTAGGCCTGAGGGCCCACACCCTCCATCCAAGTGAGAGAAAAAAAACACATAAGTGGAAGGTGACAAACAGTAAGGGAAAAATAAATGAATAAATAAGTGGCCGTCCAATTGTGCACTGGCTGCCCTGAGGCCCCGTAACAAATACAATTGCCCTGGAAGGCCTAGCCCTAAAAGGCAAAAAATGTTTGGAACAATGACCATGTGCACTGTTCACACTTGGGATCCCACCTCCATGTGCTACTAAGAGCACCCCTGAGGCGACCACTCCCAGGGGGCACTGCTCTGGACTCTCTGCCTCCCCGGCCCCTGGCCAGACAAGGTAGACCCGTTTGAATCAGGAAGAACTGGGCCTCTCCGGTTTTCCCAGGGGAATTACTCCCGGGCCCAACAGCCTGTGGACGCCTCGGTTTCTCTTCCAGATGGTACTAGCCTTCAGAGCCCCCATCATACCAGCAGGGGTAGGCCCCTTTCACACAGGCGATCCATATGTCCGTTTTTCACCTGTCCGTTTACACCCATGTATTTCTATGGACTAGCGGATGTAAACGGATGATCATCTGTTTACATCCATTAATGTCCGCATCCATAAAAAAAAAAAAATGGCTGTTAAGCGGAAGGAAACCCTATTTTTCTTCTGTTAAAAAAACAGAACGGACGAAAAAACGGATGTAAATGGATGAAAAATAAATGCAAAAGGACATAAACTGATGAAAAACAGATGTGAGCAGACAAAAAAAAAGGATGAAAAGTTGATTTTTTTTTTCTTGGAAAAAAACAATGCCTGTGTGAAAGGGGCCTTACTATACAGCCAGCCAGCCATCCATCCTCTCCGAAAGGCAAGAATGACGGCGGAGCACCCCTACTGGACACTGATAAGAACAGATACTACACTTGATCTTCGCCAAAAGGCAGAGAAAGTGGAGTTACCCTTTAATGTAGAACTTTTTTTTTTTTCCTTTTCACATTTGGATAGGTGGATTAAAACCCTCTGTCAGGTTGTTATTGCTCTCCCTACGGGTCAAGAGATTCACCCTCCCTCCGGGTCAAGAGATTCACCCTCCCTCCGGGTCAAGAGATTCACCCTCCCTATTTGTCAGAAAATCCTGGATTTTGGGGTTCCCCGGCCCAGGAATAGAGGGGGAAATCTATTAATAGGCACTCTATTGACACCCCAGAATTTCAATCACTTTGGAGAGATTTCCTCTCACTTCCTGTATTGGCTATGGGACAGGAAGTGAAGGGAAATCTCCCCAATGGGGACACAGACATCAAGGATCTGACAGGGGTTATAACTCTCCTCTATCCAAAATGAGAGAGCAAAGCTTTGCCAATAGTTCTCCCTATATCAGGTGCCACACCCTATGAAAATCCCATATATCTGGCTGCCATGCTGATCCGTCGCCTCCACATCACGACCTTCCTTCTGTGGGTCATCAGTATATATCAGCCAGGTAGGTAGTCATTATGGAAGGAGGTGATCAGTGGCCCCCCCTGGGATACATTTCCAGGACTCAGCTCTATAATGGGACACTAGTTCTGGCAATCACCACATGACTCCATCTAGCCCATCCTCAGTGGACACACTACTCACCTCTGACCTCCACCTTGGACGGTATGTACCTCCTAATGTTGGCAGCTATGTCGTCCCACTGAACCAGCTGCTCTCTATTGCCCTTCAGCGTGCGAACTCTGATAGCTCCCTTCCCCGGAAATGCCTCAGCCGCCATATTTGTTTGGGGCCAAACCTAAGGCTAAATGGCATTATTTTACCAAAACTTTATTACGGGTGAGCGCCTACTATGACAGTGAAGTAATATATTCGTGACTGCACCTACTTTGTCTTCTTGCATCTGGTCGGACCTATCCTCAAACAGCGCGCGAACCAGGAGTAAAGATGGCGGCGTGCTTGTGCCATGTGATGGCGGAAATGATGTAAGGAGAGCGGTGTTATGGCGGCGAAGAGAAGCGGGGCTGAGTGGTGATATTGGGGTACTGCTGGTGTGTTATGGTCTACAGCTGAGAGATCATAGGTCAGTAATGAGAGAGGGCGGAGGGAGGTGCTTTTTATGGGACTACAAGCCCCAGCACGGCCTGGCAGCACTTGTGATCAGTAAAGAGGACCGGTCATGACTTGGCTGGTGTAGGATTGGGATCATTTAGGGTGTAATCCTGATCACTGTGCAGGGGGGCCTATGAAGAGGGGGTCCTGTGTTATTTACATTGACTTTGAAGCTGATACTACAGGTGGGAAGTCAGAGGTCACTGCCTATTCGGGGTCTTGCCTGGATGATTGTTTTGGAATTGTTGTCACTGTTATTAACCCCTTGTCCTCCTGAAGATCCCCCCCCCCCCCCCCCACCTTCCTGACCAGGCCATTTTTTTGTGTTACGCCGCTGTGTTACTTTAACTGATAATTGCACGGTCATGCAATGCTGCACCCAAATTAAATTTTGTCATTTTTTTTTTTTCCCCCACAAGTTGCGCTCTCTTCCCGTGGAATTTGATCGCCTGTGCGGTTTTTATTTTTTGCTTTTTGCTATTAAAAAAAATATGCTCTAGTCTAGTAAAAAAAATAAAAACTAATTTTGTCATAAATTTAGGCCAAAATGTATTCTGCGACATGGCTTTGCTGAAAAAAAAAATCCCAATCTGTGTAAATAAATTGGTTTATGTGAAAGTTATGGCGTTTACAAATGGCGGTATATATACTGGGATTTTTTTTTTTCAGAATTTTTACTGGTAATGGCAGCGATCAGTGACTTTTAGCGGGACTTCTGACACTGGGGGGAGCTTACTTGGTGTCACTGACACCCCCAGTCAGTGACACCAATACAGTAATCAGTGCTAATAAAAAGCATGGACACTGTACTAATGACACTGGGCAGGAAGGGGTTAACATCTGGGGTGATCAAAGGGTTAACTGTGTGCAGTTTGTTCTGTGTTTGTGATTCACTGTAAGGACACTGCTTTGTATGGCTGTGCTACAGATGCAAAGCAGTGTGCAGGAGCTGCTCCCCCCCCCCTTCCAAGCTAGTAGAGAGGAGTAGTAGCTGTCACAATAGGGAGTGGGGAGTATCAGGGGCAGGTCCATTACTAAATGTCCACACTCCCTTCACACTCAACACCCCCCCCCCCCCCCCCCCCATTCTGCTGATTTCAGGTGCAATGCCTAAAGCCTGATTCACACCAATGCGTTTTTTTTAGCGCTTTTTGCAGAAGCGCACTACAGTCCATTTAACATGGGACATGTTCACATCTATGCTTTTTTGAGTTGCTGCATTTTTGGAAAGGGTCGGGAATTTTTTTTAAACACAAAAAGCAGCATTCTTGCTACAATGGAGTTCAATAGAGATGCTGCTGAAACTCAGGTAATGTGTTTTTCATTTTTATTCTGCCCAGCAACAACATTTTCCCTTTTTTAAAAAAAAAAAAAAACGCTGGGAAAAACGCAAAATGTGGCAAAAGCACAAAATGCACTTCAAACAGCACTGCAAAATGGACAAAACTTGCACTGCATTGGTGTGATCCAGGCCTCACAGGCTGCAATGTAATAAAATAATAAATGTACTTTTTTACCTGCAAAAAGTCGTGCATTTTTTTTTCTTTCTATAAAAGGTGAACTTATCCTTTAACAGAATGGAACCAGAATGAGCTTTTAGCGCATGTACAAAGCTGATGTTTCACAGTTAACTGTGAAGTAAATGTAACAAATTTCAAAAAGGAAGAATTGTATTAAAATGCATTAAAGATGCTTCTTTTACATGCTTTCTACATAGTCTTTGTATTGTATTTTTGTAGGCATGACAGACAGCCGAGAGGATAAATCCAGGATGAGGTCCTCGTCCTCTTGTGAAGACAGAGGTAATTACGTCTTCTTTAGGTGTTTGAATTACAGATGTCTATGCACACAGACACCAGTAGGACACAAAAAGACATCTCAACAGATTTTGATTTGGCTGCTAAGGAGTCACAGTGGCTAAATGGTTAGCACTTCCGCCTGGCAGTACTAGGGTCGTCGATTCGAATGCCAGCCACGGCACCACCTGCCTGGAGTTTGCATGTTCTCCCTGTGCCTGTGTGGGTTTTCCTCCGGGTACTCCGGTTTCCTCCCACACTCCAAAGACATGGTGGTAGGTTATTTGGCTTCTGTCTAAATTGTCCCTAGTATGTGTATGTATGAATGTAAGTTAGGGACCTTAGATTAAACGCCCCTTGAGGGTTAGGGACTGCTGTGATTGTACAATATATATGTAAAGTGCTGCGTAAATTGGTGGTGCTATATAAGTACCTGAAATAAATAAGGAGTCTACTATCTGTATTGTCACTGAGGTTACATATTGTGAAGGGCCTTAATGACGTTATTTTTTTAGCTTTTTTATTTTGTGAGATGCGGGAGAGGAGACCGAAGGCCAAATTGCCAACCTCCTACCTAAAGTCTAATGTGGGTTTCAGTGCCTGAGGTGCTCTAGATAAACCGCTAACACACGTGCCGGTACTGAAAAGTGCTTGTTGTGCATTTTACATTGCAATTCCCTGTTGTACATTAAGCCTGCAATTTCCCCTATGGCATTGTGGTTTGATTTTGCAACGTGCAGCTGTTTGCATTCATATTATAGATGTGTTTAAAGTATAATAAAATACACATATACATTAGAAAATATGCAGAGGGAAAAGGCTGCAATTTTTTTTGGTATGTATATTAACCACTTGCCAGCCATGCTATAGCCGAATGATGGCTACAGCGTGGTTGTCCAGTTCTGGGAGGGCGCCATATGACGTTTTCCCAGACCGCGCCCTCCCGTGTGCCCCCAGTGGCGCGCACCCGGCAATCTCTGTGATCACTGTGTCCTACTGACAGCTGATCTTGTGATGAGGTAAAAGACCAATCACAGCGGCCTTTTACTATGTGAATAGCTGTGTCCAATGACACAGCAGATCACAGAGTAAATACAGTTTCCGGTTAGCAGCAGCACTTTCCTCATGCTTTCACAGCGTGAGGAAAGTACTGCTGATAATTGGCAACTGACACTGAGCAGGTGGACACTGATCATCAGTGCCACCTATCATTGCTGCATATCAGTGCAGCATCATCAGTGCCTCCTCACCAATGCCCACCAGTGCTGCCTATCAGTGTCCATCAGTACTGCATATCAGTACAGGCACTCATCAACGCACATCAATGAAGGAGAAAAATTACCTGTTTGCAAAATTTTATAATAGAAACACAGAAAATCTTTTTTGCTTTTTTTTTTTTTTTTGTAGTGCAAAAAATAAAACACCCAGTAGCAATTAAATACCACCATAAGAAAGCTCTATTTGTGTGAAAAAAAATACTAAAAAATTTCAAATGGGTACAATGTTGCATGACCGCGCAATTGTCATTCAAAGTGTGAGAGCGCTGAAAGCTGAAAATTGGCCTGGACAGGAAGGGGGTATAAGTGTCCAGTAGGCAAGGGGTTAAAAGGGATGCCTTTCTTCGTATTACATTATATGGAGAGAGCTTTGTGTCTTTTTTGTGTTTTTTTTTTTTTTTTCAGAGCAGAACTGTTTTTAAAATTGAAATTTAGCAAAAAAAAAAATCCTAATAGCTTTAGTCACATCTGACCTGTAATGAAGTATGTCACACATTCTGCAGGCAGCCAGATCCTGGAGGAATCATCACTGCAGGGATACCTGTCCTCTTCCTGGCTGTGAACGTCTGGCACTGCAGTGGTTAACAGCTTCTGGTCTTTACTAGACTTGTTCGGACAGATTTCAGTGAATTATTCTTAAAAATTACAGGCCTACAATATAAAACACCAAATTTCCATGCAAAATAATGGTACCGCTTTCAGCACCAAAATCTGAAATAATCATACCGCCAAGGAGGTTAAATCAGAGTTCTGTGTCGCCTTCTTAAATCGGAGTTCTCTGTGTTACCCCTTACAGTTTAAAGGAACTATGTGAGTTCAGATTTAAAGGAGATCATTGCGGATTCAGATTTAAAGGGGAGATCTGTGGATTCAGATGCAAAGGACACTCTGTGTATTTAAATGTAAAGAGGGGGGAACTCTGTGGATGTAAGGGTAGAGTCTTGTGATTCAATTTATATGATTAGAAGTGTTATTTAATCACAAAATATTTGTATTGTGTATACTATGAAAAAAATTTGCTAAAATGTTTGGGTTTGGCTTGAAGAAAAGGTGGCAACCCTACCTAAGACAGCAGGAAGGAGGCCTGCTGCAGAGCATGTGAAATGGTCCTACTGCGGGACCCTAATAAAGAGCCCCGCAATGGTAGTAAAGGAACCTGTGATCAGTGGGAAGGTACCTGGGATCAATGGTCAGGGGGGGGGTCCCTTCATGGTTTCTTGCACTGGGGCCCTGAAGATTCTAGTTACATCTCTGATGCAAGCCCAGGTATTAGTTGGAAAGTTTTTGGAAGCTTGCGTCTTTTATAAAGGGTCAATCCACCTGAAACTGATTCTTTTAGTTTTGGGTAGTTCCTGTTGGATGGGCAGAATCAACCACTGGATTTCCAGTAAAGAGATCATAGCACCTGAGTTCCTGGATTCTTTCTTGAATTGTTCTTGTCCTTCACATTTATGGGGACCAAAGCACACAGAAGAGACAGCCATGTGGAGGCAAAGCTTGGGAAATCAAGTAGGATTATATAATAACTTGGAGGATGATAATGGCATCTAATGTTTATTGTAGTTGTAAAAAAAAAATAACATATCCCTCTTTTTCTTCAAGGAAGGGAAAAGAAGAAAAGAAAACGCAGTCGGAGCAGATCATCCTCTGTGTCTTCCTCCTCCTCCTCATCGTCATCATCACGTTCGTCGTCATCATCATCATCCTCTTCATGTTCTTCTTCATCTTCCAGCAGCAGAAGCAGCTCCAGAAGTAGAGGTATCAGCAGGGGCAAATTCTGAACTCTTATTCTGGTGTATTATAGAACTGAGGGGAACTAAATGTTCATTGGCATTCCTACTTTGTAGCTTGTCTATGTGTGTCTGATGTACATTACACTAAGCTGTGGTTTTCAAAGCAGATAAAATGTTGTTTCCTGATGCCTTTGAATGCAATTCAGCTTACATTTTGCCTTTCTTGAATACAGGTCTGGAGGTGTGACCTCTGCATATACTACAGCCTTTGCAATTGATATAGTTGATCTTAAAGTAGTATTCTGAGATATATCTAACTAATCCTAAAACTGCTCCCTCCCCCTATCCTCACACCTATACAAAACTTACCTGTGAAAGAAAGATCTGTAGACTTACCTGTTTTCAATCCACTCCAGTCCGGTCATATGGTTTGGCTGCCCTGTGTTAGCTATTGGCAGATTCAGGGGAAAGGAGGGAGCGCTGACAATGGAAGGGCAATAGTAAGCCTATTAGTGGCATCACTGTTTCCAGATATTCCGGCCAATGTCAAGCAGTATCTCCTTTCTGCTGTAGCTGGTGCTAGCTAACACGAGATCACATGACCGAACCCGACAGGCCTGAAAATAGGTAAGTATACGGATCTTTCTTACAAAGGTTAGTTAATATAGGTATTAAGGAAGGGGGGGGGGGGGGGGTAGGTAGGGAGCAGTTTTAAAGTTATTCTAAAGGGAAGTTTTTTTTTTTTTTTTTTTTGTTTTTTTTTTTTTTTTAATGTTATAAATATGTTATACCTTCCGGCTCTGTGCAGTGGTTTTGCTCAGAGCAGTCCCGATCTTATTCTTTTTGGGTCCCCCTCTAACACCCCCAACCCGGTGTGGTCATGGCTTCTCCTCCTGCCGAATGCCTCCAGTGGCAAGCCTCTTGCCATGAGGGCGCTCATGCAAGCTTGCTCCTGGATCTAGCTCAGTATGTCCATTCAGGCATGGAGCACGACTGGGCCCCACCCTCTGCTCTTTCCTTATTGGCTGTGATTGACAGCAGCAGGAGCCAATGGTTCCCTCTGGCTGCGTGAGCCAGTGAGGACAGAGAGCCACTGTTCTCATGCACATCGCTGGCTTGAGATCGGGCTCAGGTAAGTATAGGGGAGGATAGGGAGGAGAGATGCTCCCAGAAGGTTTTTTAACTTGATGCATAAACCTTGAGTCTTTAGAACAGCGGTTCTCAACCTGTGGGTCGCGACCCCTTTGGGGGTCGGATGACCTTTTCACAGGGGTCGCCTAAGACCATTGGAAAACACATATTTCCGATGGTCTTAGGAACCGAGACACCGGTCCTCTATACGTACATACATACGAGTACCTGGCTTGATGACATCATCGCGCCAACCCCATGACATACACCCTGTACAAATACAGGTGTATGTGACAGGGTTGGCGCCATAATGTATTTATGTGGACCAGTCACACGTGTAAAGAGCAGCTACTGTGTAGAAAGCAGCAGCAGTATTGGAGTTAAAAAAAAAAAAAAAAAATATCTGTACCATGGGAACTTAATCTGGATGCTGATCGGTCTTTTTATATTCAGCTGTGGTTGATGTGAATACTGTCCCCTTGTGATAGTAACAGGTATGTAAAAAAAAAAACAAAAAAAACACAGAGAATGGTAAATCATAGGAAAATTTAATGAGCTGTATTGACTGAACTATGCCATGTATCATCTTTTGTATTATTAAAGCTATTGTTATATATTATTTTCATTAGCAAACCATCCCATGACAATGGATCCTGTAGAGAAGAACTTTAAGAAAAGAAAATATAGTGAGGATGTTTTACAGTATGGTTTTACCTCAATAATTACAGCAGGAATTGAGAAACCGCAGTGTGTTATTTGTTGTGAAGTTCTATCAGCCGAATCTATGAAGCCAAACAAACTAAAAGCCATTTTGATAGCAAGCATCCGAGCTTTGCCAGCCAGGATACCAAATATTTTAGAAGCAAAGCTGATGGACTCAAGAAAGCCAGATTTGACACTGGTGGCAAGTACCACAAACAAAACGTAGCAGCCTTTGAAGCTTCATATTTGGTGGCACTCAGAATCGCCAGAGCTATGAAACCTCACACCATTGCTGAGGATTTACTGTTGCCAGTGGCCAGAGACATTGTTCGAGTTATGATCGGAGACGAATTTGTTACGAAATTGAATGCAATTTCCTTATCTAATGACACTGTCTGCAGAAGACTAGATGACATGTCTGCTGATATTCTTGGTCAGGTAAATTAAATCTGCTCCACTTCCAATATTTAGTATTCAGCTTGATGAATCTACAGACATTGCAAACTGTTCACAGTTATTATTATTATTATACAGGAGTTATATAGCGCCAACAGTTTGCTCAGCACTTTACAATATAACAGGAGACAATACAGCAACAATACAGTTCAATACAAGAGGGTTAGGAGGACCCTGATCCTTGGAGCTTACAATCTAGGAGATACTGGTTTACGTGAAGTATATTAATGATGGTGACTTTAAAGATGAGTTTCATTTTCGCAAACCTCTTGAAATGACAACTACTGCATGTGATGTATTTGACACAGTTGGTTCATTTCTGAAAGAGCATAAGAGCTCTTGAGAAAAGGTTTGTGGCGTTTGCACAGATGGTGCTCCAGCTATGCTAGGATGTCATGTTGGATGTAGGATGTCGATCTGGATTTCAACGTTTGGTACTGAATGAGTCACCAAAAGTCATCGGAACTCACTGTATGATTCACCGGCAAATATTAGCAACGAAGACGCTACCACAAGAGTTACACGAAGTAACGAAAAGCGTCATAAAGTTCTGTCAATTTTGTAAAGGCGAGCACTTTAAACGGTCGACTGTTTTCGCAACTGTGCAACGAGTTGGATGCGCCGAACAATGCTCTGCTATTTCACATTGAAGTGGGATGGTTGTCGAGAGGAAAAGTTTTAAAATGTGTTTTTGAGCTTCGTGATGAACTCAAAAAACGTTTTTTAATCAGAAAGCAAGACCGCAGTTCAAAGCACTTTTCAGTGATAAAAGTGAACTGCAGAAAATAGCTTACTTGGTTGACATCTTTGCCATCTTGAATGAGTTAAATTTATCACTGCAAAGACCAAATGCAACATGCCTCGATTTGTCTGAAAAGAGCCGATCATTCCAAATGAAACTTCAGCTTTGGCAAAAAAAATTGGATGAAAATAAAATTTACATGTTGCCTACCTTATCTGCTTTCTTTGAAGACCGTGACATTGAACCAGACAAAAGGATTACGATGATAATTTCTGTGAAAGAAAACTTGCACATGCTTGCAGACGAAATGTCATCGTACTTTCCAAATCTACCTGACACCCAATTTGCACTTGCCAGAAGCCAATTCACAGTCAAAGTTGAAGATGTTCCTGAGACAGCACAAGAGGAGTTCATTGAACTTATTAACAGCGATGCAGCGAGAACTGATTTCTCTACAATGCCAGTTACAAAAAATTCTGGATCAAGTGTTTGCAGTCATATCCTGTTCTGTCTGAGACTGTGTTTCCAAGAACATATCTTTGTGAAACAGGGTTTTCCAGCTTGTTGGTTATCAAGTCCAAATACAGATGTAGACTTGTTGTGGAAGATGATCTCCGTTATGCTGTTGCAAAGACTGCCCCGAGAATTTTTCTGATCTGGTGAGAGAGAAGCAATTTCACCCTTCGCACTGACGTTGGCTTTTTACACATACTGTCGCAAAATGTAGCAATGTAGTTTTACTGTTGTTATATTAAGACTGTTACCCATGCTACACCGTGCTTCAAGACAACATTTCATGTATTTGTAATTAGAAATAAATATTTCACAATATATAATTACATATTGTTTTGTGATTAATCACTATGCTTTAATTATGTTCAATTTGTAACAATCAAAATACATCCTGCATATCACATATTTACATTCCGATTCATAATAGTAGCAAAATTACAGTTATGAAGTAACAATGAAAATAATTTTATGGTTGGGGGTCACCACAACATGAGGAACTGTATTAAAGGGTCGCGGCATTAGGAAGGTTGAGAACCACTGCTCTAAAGGGATGTGTGTGTGTTTTTTTTTTGTTTTTTTTTTTCTCTAATGTAACAAATATGTTATGTGGACTGCGCATAAATTAAGTGCATTAAATTTGACAATACATAAGTAATAATGCTTCACATATACAAAGTGAATAATTGTAACATTCAGTCCAAATTCGGAAAAATAAAGTGCCCAGGTGTTGATTACTAATTGGTGAACAAAAAATGGCAGGTGATCCTCTGTGCACTCACCGTTAGCCATGGACCACCTATCTCTAGGTTAGTCTTGAGCGCCTGGTTTGGGACTAGCCCAATACATGATGGCAAGAATGGCACCAATATTCATTCCTGGGAATCATGCCATCTGTCTGATAGTAACCAAGAGGATGATGACCAGCGTGGATATAAATGACAGTGTAGTTTCAAAAGAGCCTTTTTAACTTTCTCCTCTCCTCCCAGGCAGTAAACCAAGTTTCAGCATGTGAACAGAAACAAAAGCAAACTTCCCATAGTGTAAAACCATAAAAAACTTTAATGATGGGGAGAAGTTTTAAGAATAAACTCACAAGCAAAGTGCCTATAACCTGGCACTCGGTGTATTCAGCCTTGCTGCCTGTGAATAGGAACCAGGGGGGGGGGGGGGGGGGGGGGGGGTATTTTTTAAATGAAAGATGAACCCTTAATGTAATTTTAAAAGTAATTTTCAATTCTTAAACAGGTTAAAGGTTCTGGAATTTTAGTACTTGTTTTGTTTTCCGAACAGCCTGGAGTTTCACCTCATGTATAGTGGGGTTTATGCTTTCATCACAAGAGGGCCCGCTATCTCTTGCTGTTTACCTTGCAAGTCGGACCATACACCTTGTGACATCTCTGCCCATGTTATATTCAGAACTAAATGTAGAGCTATATGTAGGATTTTATCACTTAAAGGATAAGTTCACCTTTTGTAACATATTACACTCATATTCAGGGTGTAACATGTTACGAAAGGACTGGCCCCCGCTCCCCCATGGTGACAGCTAGCGGGGGATCTTCTCCTCCTGCCAGCTGTCACAATTTTAAAACAAAGTGGCCATACAGTTCTCTACTCGCCCAGCCATGTCACTTGTTCACAGTATTCTGTGAATGGAAAACTACAAGCCTTTGCAGCTGTAGGCTTGTACTTCTCAATAAACTACCACGGCTCTGTAAGTACTTTGGTAGTTCATTGATTCTTCCTATCGGAGTGCATCTGCCTGCCAGTATGAGGTACGAGCAGACATGATGATTATAATTTTATCTTTCACTAAAGGACACAGGATTAGTATTAAAGATGTGCGGGTTATATACAGCCACCTACAGGAGGTGGACACTGGCAAACAGGAAAAAAAACCCATTGGCCAGCCTGGTATACTTCCTCCCCCCCCAGCCTTCTTTAGTTTTTTGCTAGTGTCCCTAGGAGAATGGACATTCTTTATCTCCAGAAGAAAGTCCATGTTTTCCTAGCAAGGCACACCTTACTTGGTCTGTGAGTAATGAAGGGGATGTTTTAGCATTAAGATTTTGTCTCCCAAATTTGTAGAGCTGCCACTTTGTCATCTGTTCTCAGAGATTTACCAGGTAAAGATTAAGGCCTCATCTGATGCCAGATAGCTCTAGGTGTAGGATCCTTTATGATGCTCTTTGAGCTGCAGGCTGCCCCTTTTCTAGAGTCTTTTTTTGTGTTATGGGGGCCTGTTGTTTATTTCCTATTGCTTGCCCATCAGATTGTTTTTGGACACCCCATGTGTCTATGAATACCATTTCCATGTCCCTTTAATGAAGTCCAAGAAACAGATTTTACTGTAAGTACAAAAATTCTGTATATTTAAAGTAGAATTATGGGATAAACCTAACTAATATTGAAAATGCTTCCTTCCTTGTCCTAACACCTAACCTAACACTTATGCTGCCTAACCTGTGTAAGAGAGATATATTTACTTACCTATTTTCAGCCCACTCTGGTTCAGTCACATGATCAACCAGCGCCATCTGAAGGGGTGAGGAGACCATGGCTTGACAATGGCTGAATGCCTGGTAGCAGTGATATCACCCATAGGCTTTCTATGGCCCATCCATTGTCGGAGCCTCCTCCTCTCCCCTGCAACTGATGCTGGCTGACACAGGGGAGCCAGATCACCAGAACGGAGCAGTCTGAAAATAGAGAAGTATATCTATCTGTCCTACACAGGTTAGCCAGCATATGTGTTAGGAGAGGGAAGGGAGAAGTTTTAATTTTTTTTTTTTTTTTTTTTTTTTAGTTAGGTTTATCCTGGAATTCTTCTTCAATCCTTTTACTGTCTTGGGGGATTTTACACACACTGCTGATGGCTGCAGCCGCTAGGAGTGTGTGTATATCTGACAAGCTGGCTGTCAGATGGAAACGATCCCCCGTTAGCTCTTGGTATACACTCCCACACCCAGTGTACATGCTGCTGTGTATGGGATGAAAGGGGGCTGCTGTTAAAACTAATTTAGATACTTGTTAGTTTTAAAAAATGCCTTTTTGTTTTTAAAAGAATGTAACACTCAATATAATAGCATTTCCTTCTACCTTATGTCTAGTTACCTTTATGTACCAGTAGGATATCATACAGGTTGTTCACTAATATATTTGATTTTCTTTTCTTTTAATCTTTTAGATGTGAAAAAAACACAAGTCTAAGAATGCCATTAAAGAAAAAACACAACAAAAAGGTAAGATCAGTCTGCCTTTTACCGCGAATGTGCAGTTTGTGTTTTATCTTTTGGTTTGTTCTGATAGGTTTCCTCTCCGGTGAATTTGAACAAGACTTTATTGGAAAGAATAGCAGCTCTTTTGTAACAAAGGAAAAAAAAAAAATATATATATATATATATATATATATGCATTAGGGAAAAAATTGTCCCATTATTTGTCTCCCCCTCATCTCCATAAATAGGCCTTTCTCAATCCAGCGATGTGCCCGAGTGCTGCTCTCTCTTCCTCTCCTCACAGGACTCATTGAGAGTAGCGGGAGCTGTTGGCTCCTGCTGTGTCAATAAAATACTCTGCAGGGGGCAGGTCTGAAGTATGCTGTGCTTGTCTATAGATGCACACAGCCCAGCTCGGCAGCAAGCCTACAGGTGTGCCCCCATAGGAAGCCGCTTTCTATGGTGATTCACTGAGAACAGGAGGAGCCTAGAACGCCAGTTGGGGACCCCAGAAGAGAAGATTCAGGACTGCCCTGAGCAGGTAAGTATAATCTGTTTGTTATGTTAGAAAAAAAAACATTTAAAGTGTTCACCTTTTAAAAAAAAAAAAAAATATAACCAGGTAAGAGGTGTGTTTGTACATAAAAGCAAACTGCCACTCTGACTAAAGTTGAATAAGGTCCTTGCTAATAGGTGAAGGCCATTTACATACCTTTTTGGAGCCTGACTGGAAAACTCCTGGGATGTTGCTAAGTGTGAGCCCTCGTCATTTCTGCTCATCTCCTCTATCACAGGATTGAACTTTTTCTGTGATCTGTGATTCAACCCCTCCACGTGCTCTTTCTCTTCCCTGATGCAGTAGCTCTGATCTCTGTGTTTGACAGCTCACACCTCGAGGTGAGCAGCAACAACTAAGTCTCACTTAGCAACGTCCTAGCAATGCCCTGGGAGTACTCCAGTCAGGCATCGTGAGGTATGTAAATGGACTATACCTATAGCAAGGGCATTATTCAACTTTAGCCAGAGCTGCACAGTTTGTTTTTTAGCTACAGACATCCCTTACTTGCATAGGCAGTTTTTTGGTAAAGGTGAGCTACCCTTTCTAAGCTTTGCAACCACTTTAAATCTTTGTTTAGTGTAACCTGTACAATGATGAATCCAAATCCTCATAAATATATATGTTTGGGCTCATTACACTTGCGCTTGGGCAAGTAATGTGTAAAAAAAAAAAAAAAAAAAATTGGTGTGCAGGCTGTTTAGCTGCCTTTTTACTGCCCCCCCCTTTTCCCCTTAAGCTGCAAAGTCCACATGCTGTGGCCAAGGCAGAAATTATGCCCTCTGTCACATCTTAATGTGTTTTTTTTTTTTTTTCTGCAGAAAATAAAAAAAGACGACAAAGTAAAGAAGAAAAAGAAGAAGAAGAAACAAGAGGATTCCAGACCTGTGCAGATTTCTAAGGTGCAGCCTCCATCCATGCACTCTGTGGGCGGCGTCCGTTTAGGCCAGTGTCTGGGAATGGGATTACATTTTATAAAGTGTCTCTCTAACACATTAGATTTTCATCAAAAACAGTAATGGCAAATTGTTGGATGTGTTATGTACTTAAACATTTTCATTGGTAGGATCAGAATGATGATGCACTAAGAAGATAACAAGATGCTGAGAAATGTAAAGTGATCAGTTGGGGAGAGAAGTGCCAGGGGGTTTTGAGAGGAGTCAGAAGACTCTTTATACTGCAGGAAACCTCAAACAAATTCTCCTTTCTCCCGTTTGGTGGTTTGCATAGTTAATCGGTTAATTCACATATAAAGCAGACCATTGGTGCTCCAATAGTGCATTCTAGCATGCAGTTTAACCACTTGCCCTCCAGAGGATTTCCTCCCCTTCCTGACCAGGCCATTTTTTTTTTCCCCGATACGGCACTGCGTTATTTTAACTGACAATTGTGCGGTCATGCAGCGCTGTCTATAAATGAAATTTATGTTTTTTTTTTTTTTTTTTTTTTTCCCCCCAAAAAATAGAGCTTTCTTTTGATGGTATTTGATCGCTTGTGCGTTTTTTTTTTGCACTACAAAGACTGAAAGTTTTGAAAAAAAAATTTTTTTTTACTTTTTGCTATAAAACATATCAAGTAAAAAAAAATTTTAAAAATCAAACTTCGTCCTAAATTTAGGCCAAAATGTATTCTGCTCCATGTCTTTGCTAAAAAAAAAAAAATAATACCAATACATGTAAATTAATTGGTTTACATGAAAGTTATAATGCCTACAAATGGCAGTATATATACTGGATTTTTAATTTCATTTTTTTTTATAGTAGTAATCAGCGGCAGATCAGCGACTTATAGTGGGACTGCGGCGGGCATTCTGACACTGGGGGGGAACTGACTAACTGCCACTGACAGCCCAATGACACTAATACAATGATCAGTGCTAATAAACAGCACTGACACTGTACTAATGACACTGGGAAGGAAGTGGTTAACAGCTGGGGTGATCAAAGGGTTAACTGTGTGCTGTGTTGTGGTTTACATAATGTGCTCTGTGTGTTTTACTAGGAAAACGTGCTGCTGTGTATTTCTCTGCTGTGTAGAGAAATACACAGCAGCATGTTCTTGCTGGCAGGCGAGAGACCTGTGTTGTATACACACAGGTCTCTCCCCTGTCCATGTTACTCAGCATCCGTAGCTGCCAATGGCAATGCAATACCCGGAAATGCAAAACACGTGTGTATATATACATGTGATTTTGCGCAACCCTGCCACTTTGTAGCAAGGCGGCAGGCAAATGGTTAATAAAGTATGTACAGAGGGGGCAGAATTTTATACAACTATTTTTTATTTTGTACATGTCTTCAATCGGATGTGCTGTGGGTACTATGATGTCTAAATACGGCCCTGCTGACAACTCTTAGTAAAAAAAAAAAAAAAGAAAAAACCACTTTATTGACAAAAAGAATTAGACTATAGTACACAGCAAATGATCCACATATAGAATCCAAAATATACTAGTTGATCACCAGTAGGTCAGACATTTGACAGTAGATACATTACACTGGAGATACACATGTACCAGCTTCCACAGACAAGGAGACATATAATTGTTGGGGTGGAGGTGAGGGGCAGTACACTCCTCTACATAGAAGCAACGCTGGTAAGGTGGGGTGACATGAAAATTAATATGAGATGAATATATGCGGATAAAGGGGAGGTCCTGGGCCTAATTGCAAATCCCCTGACTCAGTTTAGGTCACACAAGTGTCTGGCAGTTCGAGTCACATGTCCCATATTTTTATTATATTTCATAGGGAAGCTAAATATATCTTTACCTGTGTAGGTAAACCATATTTATTTATTTATTTTTATTTTTTTTATATGGAAGTGTCGAGTTGATTTCCATCAACCAAGCTTGAAGCGTAGGGGGTGCAGCCTGCACCCAGCAAAACACAACAAGCTTCCGCGCACTAAATGGGGTTTCATGCAAGAAAGTGGTGAGAAACTTGTCTGCTTTCAAGTCTGGTAGGAGGCCCAGGAAGCATAGTTTTGGGGTCTAACTGAAGGGGGAGAGCCCATACAATCATGCAAAATTGAATAACTTGTTCCCAGTAGGCCCGTATGCCAGGGCAAGTCCATAATAAATGGGGAAAAAAGTACCTGTAGCTTCTGAGCATTGAGGACACAGTGAGCTCTGCTCTGGGCGGTATCTTGAAACTCAGAGCGGGGTAAGATAGGCTTGGTGCATTATATAAAGCTGGGTGAGTCTATCAGGTGAAACTAGCTTAGTGCCTTCCAGTATCTCATCCCATTCTTATGCCTCTATAGACCCAACATCTGGCTCCATACGAGTCTAAGCTCTATCTACTATACGGGCCACTGTGGGGGTGAGCAATGCATTCTATAGTGATGATATCAACTTAGTGTGTTCTGTGCCTGTGATGATATCAATCAGGGACAAAGACTGAAGAGGAGATTGATCAGAAAATGGAACCCGTAGCAGGGGTGTCAAACTGGCGGCCCTTCAGCTGTTAGGAAACTACAAGTCCCATCATGCCTAGGGCTTCGGGACTCATGGTTGTAACTGTCAGTCTTGCAATGCCCCAAGGGACTTGTAGTTTGGCAACAGCTGGAGGACCGCCAGTTTGACACCCCTGCTGTAGGGCATGCCGGAGCTGCAGACATCTAAATAACATGGTTTGAGAGATCAAAGTCATCCTTTTAGGGTTTGAGGTTTTGGGACCTGAGGTTGTAAGTACCTGAGAGAGGTATAGCTGTAGATTGGCTGCTAGGAAGATAATGGTCTTTTTGCATAGAATAATCAGGTAACTGCCAGTTGCAGTTGCTAGCAGTACGTCAGGATTTCCATTGATACGATATGAAATATGATCTGCTTCTGCAACTCTTATTAAATTGGTCACAATGGGTTAGAGGTCATGTTACCGGGACAATTCCATGTAGGCTAATATAGACTCAGGGCAATTCCATTGTGAGCAGCTTAACATTAAAGCACCTCATCATGTTTTACTTTTACTTCCAATGCCGCAGTCCTATGTCCTGGAAAACCAGAAACTTTGCTGTTCTTTTTGCTGATATGTGTGATATTGGTGTGTCTTATAGTTTCTTAAAGAGAAAAAGAAGAATGAGAACTACAGTATGATAACGGGGAAGAAAATCAAAATGAAAGTGAAGAAAAGCAGAAAGGACAAAGAGGTAAATGGCTTGTAGTTTATTGGAGGACACAGGACAGAATTCTTCAGTGTGTAGATATATTGCCACCTACAGGAAGTATAGACACTATGGGGGAGATTTACTAAAACTGGTGCACACAGCATAGTACCCAATCCACTTTCACATGTTATTGTAAATGTTTAATAGAACAAGCTGAAGTAAGAAGATGATTGGTTACCATGCATAGCTGCGCCAGGTTTTTTTTGTGGACCAGTTTAGTAAATCTCCCCCATGTGAATAAAAAAGGAAACGCTTTCTAGTGGCTCTATCATGCCGCTGCACCTGATCAGAAGCTCAGTTCAGCTTGGTGTCCCGAGGAGGCAGGACATCTCTCTGCTAGATCTAGAGTAGAGGTTGAAAGGGATATCGTATGTACTCTCCAGCGCCTCAGGATATGCACAGCCAAAAGGGAAGCCAAGGGTACCAGGACAGCGACAACCAAAGGAAATGCTTCAGGGGTGCAGCCCTCCTCAGACGGGGAAATCAGCCACTGGATAGAGAGAAAACAGGTGGCGCACACACCTAGTGCATTATCCAAGGTTTATTGTAGGAGTGAAAGAATAATAAAAAAACATACTCACAGACGAAGCATGTATCTAAAAAGCATAGAAAAATGACAATGGCCACAACGGCGTGCAAGGTGTTCTCACTGTCAGTGCGGTCAAATGGCTGACGCGTTTTGGGGACGGATCCCTTTCCTCAGAGCTGATGACCAACCTCTGATGCTGATGTATGATGAATGGAAAGTAAGAGCCTTGCTGTTGATGCCTCTTTGGCCTTTTTTTACTTGTTGCTTGCCCTTGCCTGCCCCTCATCTTGAGACTGCTTTTTGACTTCCTTCATGTTTAAGAATACAGTCCTTTAATAAATGTTGAAAGAAACTGGTATTTTTTTCTTTCACTAGCAATACCACAACAGTGGGTTTTTTGTTTTTGTTTTTTTTTTGTTTTGGAGTCTCCTTGTAACGTATCTTTATTACCCGTTATTTTTGCTAGTAAAGTCATTATTTTCCATTCCCTTTAACAGGCCACGCTGTCCAGAAAATGTGGCAGTTACATGGATTGGAACAAACCCATATAACTGTGACAAGTGTGCTTACAATGTTCTGCTTTCCTTCATAAGGCTTAGGGCCAATTCACATTATGTGCGGTGACCTATGTTTTACTGCGTGGTAAAATGTCTGTCACTGTAGGGACATAGAAGAAACTATTCTTTCCTATGTGTCCCATTCACACTGTAACACAGCCTAGCACTGGCAGTGTGCTGCTGGACATTGCCGTGAGTGACGCGTACATTTGTACACTTCAAATTTAGCTCATACAAAACAAAAAAGGGAACAGCGTGATGAATTGCGCATCACACTGCCCCCTAGCACAGTCAGCAATGCAGAGCGGCTGGAGTGGTGAATCGCTCCTGCTGATCTGCTTGCATTGTGAATTGGCCCTTAAATCTTTTTCCTAAAGAAAAAAACTGTTGCTGTAACTGCTTAAAAAATCTTATCTGGAGGTCGCCTTTAATTTATTTGTCTTTTACGTAATTGATGGTGAAGTGGGTGTTTTACCCCAGAGCCTTCAATGGAAATGTAAATTGTAAAATCCAGCACATTTAGAAAAAAAAAAAAAAAAAAAAAAAATCCTCGAATCCTTCCTTAAAGGAGGAATAAAAAGAAAAGGATCTGCTGGTAGGCCCAACAGGTAGTAAAACTTAAAGAAAACGTGGGCTTAACCACTTGTCTACCAGCGTTGATTGTAAACCGCTTATTAGCCTATTATTAAGCATCTTTGCAGATAAATGCGCCCACTTCTGCATTCCCTTTTCTCGTGTTTTCAAAGCTGTTCAGAGGCCCAGGACATTTTAAACATTGCTTTGTCTAAACTCGGGCTTCTTGCACCGCTAGTGTTTCAAGACATATAGTTTAAAAAACTTTGCAGTCTTTTAATGTATTGCAATTTTTTTACTGCAAATACACAAATTTCTAATTAAGTGTCTGTGGAATGTTCATAGTTCAGACTAAAAAAAAAACATTACAGTATCTTACCACGCTTTGCTCTCATGGCCAGTGTGGTCAGTTTTTTGAATAAGAAAGCAGGGGGACTGGCAGGAAACACCAGGGATTTCACACAAGGGAAGCAATACAAAGAGAACAAGATACTTTTTCATACAAGTACATGGTACAGCAGGCACATATCAGGGATATGAAATGTTGCGTTTACAAATTCTTTAAGGCTGCTGCCACTAAAGTCATTAAATCAAGGCAGAATGTGAAGAAACGGCTTCCCTTATTCTTTTCAACTCTGATCTGCAAATGTGTTGTACATTGCAGACTGTTGGCAGGTTCAGTGTTAACAAAGCAAAGTTTGGCTCACTGATCAGGGTCTGTGTTGACAGGTATCAATGCACAGGGAAAGATAAAGCAAGGTAAGTGAGTATATTTGCAACATTGGTGTCTCAGGCTCCCCACAGTCTTCTGGGACTTGTGATAGGTCCCAGAAGACTGGAACCATTCACAATGTGCAGTGGTCACCCGGCTGTGAAGCTGCAAGCTGTCATTGCTGGTTGCCCACAGTTAAGATGCCGGCGCCAAGGACTGAACACAGTTCCCTGGCTCCCCCTTGGATGAGCACATCGCTGGATCCTGGTACAGGTAAGTGTTTGATCAGTAAAAGTCAGCAGGTACAGTTTTTGTAGCTGCTGACTTTTAATTTTTGGAAAACTGACTGGAACTCTGCTTTATAGTCTAAATGTTTGGATGTAAAATACAGTTTTTTTCTGTCTACAGTTAAGAAACCAGCACCTTCAGATGGAAGCCAGAAACAGCAGTCCACATGCAGATATTAGCTTCCAGCTAAGTCAGTATTTGCATAGCAGTTGTGAATTGGGGCGCTGTGCTGGTACTGTTTGCTACCATTGGGTGGGTGGGTGGCTTCCTGTGACCTCCAAGGCAAATTTACTTTAGAACAGATAGTTTGCTGTGTAATGGGACATGTCCTCATAAATTTGTACTACGCTAGAAGAAAAATAGCTTTTGGCATGTGTTTGACATCTGGAAGAACTAGGGTAACTCCGGCCCGTTTTTTTCTCTTTCCTCAGAGAGACAGAAATCGAGCAGAACTGTTGGAATTCCTCAATTCTTCCATGTGACCTGGGACGGTAGACTTCATGGTGCAATCTTCTAACAACCTGCAGACTCTTATATTGCCTTTTATTTCACAGAGAATACAATGCTAAAAACACTTGGCGCTGGAATTGATGGTCTCTGCACCTTCGAGCCTCTGACAGTGCGCCCATCAGTAGACCGCCATGTTCAGTGCTCCTGGCTGCAGCCAGCAAGGCGGGGGGGTTTTCTAAAGAAGCCTGCCTAACACTAGAAGAAGCTTCCATTCTGCAAGCTGTATATCTGGTGTGCCCAATTCTAACCGAGCTGGAAGAACTGTAGGATTGGACTTGTACAACAAGGGAAAACTGGAAATTGAACAACCCCAGTAGTATATGTAACATTTTATAAGAACCCAGCCGTTCCGTTTCCAGTTGTTATGGGACCTTGAAAAAAGTTCTAATTAGACCCCTTGGGAACTAGAGACCCCATGAAAAATTCTAAGGCTAACCATTAGGGCATCCAAGGACTGAAATAAAAGTTGAAATTGTACTGAAAGTCAGTACAGAGCAAACTTCAATTTCCACGTAGCATTTCTACAGCATACGTAGGCTCTGGGGAGAGCGGATAAGTGCAGGGGTTGGCTGGATGCAGCCACTGCTTGGCTGGGAGTTTTCCGTCCGGCTCTGTTGGGCAGCAGGATGCTGACAGGGCCACCCACTGCTCAGAATTAGCCCGGTTCAACAGGAACTGTCTTAAACTTCTTCTTTGTATTGCAATGCCCATGTATGTTTCCCCTAAAGGCGAAAATGGTTGTGGTCAGTTGCTTTAGGCATTCCGCTACACATCTCTTGTGGTTTTCACATCTTGGTTCCAGGAGGTAGACTTTAAGGCTCTTTTTTTTTTTTTTTTTTGGGGTGGGGGGGGGGGGGGGCACAGTGGGGAACAGTAAAGTGAATGAAGAGAGGGATGCATTCATCAAAGTGACCAATCACACCCAGCTGTTTGTTTTGAGGGCTGGATGTAATGTGAATGATTACTGTATGCAAATACAGACAGTTCCAATGGAAGCCTGTTGTGTTCTTTTTATTTTAAAGTGCATCTCTAGGCAAAACTTTTTTTTTTTTTTTTTTTTTTTTTTTTTTTTCCCCCAGTAAGGAACTATTAGAGTCTCTGTCAATTTTTTTTATTGTTGTTTGTATCCCTGGGGGGGGGGGGATTTACCCTTCTATTTGTACTGGTGACCGCTGTCACTGAGAGGGAATGTAAGGGGAAATCCAGAATGTTAGTTGTCCCCAGAACAAAATAATGGGGATAATTCAAGGGGGGGGGGGTTCCGCACTTTGGGAGATTTCCTTTTAACATCTTGTTGCGTCTCTGGAACAGAAAGCGAAAATAAATTTTCCCAATGGTATGCAGATGGCAAAAAAAAAATTATATGGCCCTGCCATGGTTTTAACACTACTCTACTCTATCAAAAACTACAAAAATATTCTGGATACATATACACTTTTAGCTGCTTCTTTTTTTGACTTCTGGTCTAAATACCTTTTTTTTTTTTTTTTTTTTTTTTTTTTTTTTTTTTTTTTTTTTTTTTTTTTATACACATTGATATTTTAAAGCAACATGTTTGAAGAAACCCTGATCTAGTGTGTTCATTATATTGCAGCTTGCCAGTTCTTAGATGTGATGGCTGCATTTGTTTTTTCTTTTTTAGTATTTCTTTTTATTTTCATCTGGTGATGCAGCCAGCAAGTTTTTTTTTTTTTTTTTTTTTTTTTTTTTTTTTTTTTTTTTCTTTTCAAAAGAACACGCTGTCCTGCAAATGTACCAGTTAGCATGTTGAGACAAACTATTTTCCACTGACAGGGGTGCTTACAATGATCAGCTTTCTATTCATGTAAAACCTTTATCTCAAAAGAAAAAAAACTGTTACTGTAACTACTTGTGTAACTTCAGTGTGAGTTGGAGTTTGGCTTCGGTTAGTGTATCTAAATCTGCTAGGGCATCTAAAACTTCCTTTTCCCCCAGATTTGCAATGCTGCTGTCCACAGGTGCCCCTGTGCTTCTTTATCCAGAGTGGGGGCACTAATACAAGAGGTATGTTACTGGCCATATCACCAATTGAAAACCGAGTGAAAAAAGCCTAAAAAAAAAAAAAAGTGAATGCAGCTATCACATCGATGGATTGGTAAGCTGCAATATAGTGCATTTTTAGTTATGGGTTTAATACCGCTTTAAACATGGAGGAGAAAAAGTGACCAAACGGGTCCTTTTTTAATTAATCAACATAAGGCTGACCGTTGGAGCCAAGGGGACAAAAGAAAACCTAGTTTTGTTTTTTTTTTTTTTTTCTGATATATTATTTGGTGTATGTGGTCAGTTTTCCTCAGTTAGCAGAGCTCTTTCAGTTTAGGAAATTGTACTGAAATAAAATAAGTGTTGGATTACAGATACATTTCTATTTGGCAGTCTTTAAATATCAGTCCCGGTGTCCTCACAACTGGTTTGTAAATGCTCAGTCAGTGGATTTAACCATTTGTATAAACGTCTGCGTGTCTTTAGTGGTACTCCACTCAGAACTAATATTCCAGTTTGGGAATCGGCCATCAGCAAATCCTCTGCCTTCTTGTGTTCTTTGGAAACCTTGGTGGGGAGATCTTCCTCCAAGGGTTTTCCGATCCGTCCATGTTATGGCCATAGTGATCTGCCTTCAGCTTTTGGCACTAAATGTCAGTTGCCACGCTGCAACTTAGAGCTGGGCTTCTACTCTCCAATTCCTGAGAAAAGGTAAGACGAGTATTTGCAGCTCGGGAGAGAGTATTGGCAAAGTATAGGCTCACTTAAAAGTGACTCTAAGCTTTGTTTTTTTTTTTTGTTTTTTTTTTCAAATTAAATAATAAACTTGTCATACTTACCAGCTCTGTGCAGTGGTTTTGTATAGAGCATCCATCATCTCGGGTCCCCTGCTTTCGCTCCTGGCTCCTCCTCTTCATCCAGTGCCCCCATAAGAAGCTGCTTCCTATGGGGGCACTGGTGGGCTTGCTCCTGAGCCACGCTGCCAGTGTCCATCTACACAGACAGTGGGGCATGCCCCTCCCCCCATTCTCTTGTAACAGAGTTTGATTGACAGCAGCGGGTGCTGCTATCGATGTGCCCAGTGAGAAGGGACAGAGCCTGGAGAATCGCTGCTCTCATGCACAGTGCTGAATTGCGATGGGCCTCAGCTAACTGTAAGGGGAGGTCTGGGAGGAAAACCCACACACAGAAGTTTTTTTACCTTTTAATGCATAAAATACATTAAGTTAAACATGAAGGTGGTTGTAAAATAAAATTAAAAAAAAAAAAAAGAAAAAAACATGCCTATACTTACCTGCTCTGTGCAATAGAATTGCGCAGAGCAGCCTCGATTCTCCTCTACTCCGGTCCCCTGCCAGCGGTCCTGGCTCCTCCTCTCTTGCTGGTGCCCTCAGTAGGAAGCCAATTCCCAGGGGGACACTCATGTAGGCTCGCTCCCAAGTCCCGCTGCTGCATCCATTGACACAGACAGTGAGACTCAGCCCTGTCCCCTGCAACCTCGCCAATGGCTCTCACTGCTATCTATCTGTCCAGTTAGGAGGGACAAAGCCAGGAGAGCCGCAGCTCTCATACACAGTACTGGATCATGATGGGGCTCAGGTAAGTATGGGGGGTGAGGGGGCGAGTCTGTGACACAGAAGGTTTTTTACCTTAATGCATAGAATGAACCAATTTAAGGGATGACACCAATGGTTATTTTAGTGCTTGCCAAACTCACCCTCTCATCCTATCAACCGTTTTATTTTTTGGATAAACACAGGCCTAAATTGTGATTCTAAGGCTCCTTTCAGATGGGGCGTACCTGTCAGTGGATCCACTTGCTCAGCAGGAGATCTTTCTGCTGATCCCCACTGAGCAAGCGAATGACAGGTCTGTATCCGCTCTACTACTTCAGACACAGATACAGCCCACTGTTTTCTATGGGGTGGTCAGATGGAAGCAGACTGTCTGTTGTCCACCCGACACACATCCGATCCACCGGATAGATGGGAAACAGATCCCCATTCGTCTGTTTCTAGCATACACGATCGGATGCTGGCAGGTGTCAGTGGACACCTGCTGGTCCATAGTGGGCTATGGATGGTCCGATCGGGTCCGCCTGAAAAACTGACAGGTGGACCTGATCGGACCGTCATTGTGAAAGGGGCCTAAGGCACTAATTACTCCATCTGTTCATACATTGTGTGGGTGGCTCTGTAAATATTGAGTTCAGGTACAAAGCAAGCTTCATAAAGATGTGTCTTGGCAAGGTTGGTGTGGAGGAAACTGTACGACCTGCACAGAGCCCTGACCTCCACTGAACACCTTTGGGATGAGTTCTGAGAGCAGGTCATCTCCGCCAACAACAATACCTAATATGCCAAATGTTTCTTTTTTCCTTAACTTTGGAACCCACTCGCTTTTAGGTTGGAGCATGTAACGTGGCTCCTGTGCCTTCTCCAAAACACTCCAATACGGTCCCCCCCTTCAAGACAGCAGGCAGGGAATAGTCTCCCCACACCCACTGTCACAATTTAAAAACAGTGTGGTTGTGCAGGGTTCTGCTCACACAGCTGTGTCATTCAATCACAGAGTTCTGTCAATTAATGAACTACAAGTACTGTGGGCTGCAGCGACTCACGGCTTTTAGTTCTCAGTAAACTGTGAGGGCGCTGGTGAGCGTTCTCGTGGTTCATTGATCTTCCTGTCATACTGTAACTTCCTGCCTGTATGGGAGGTATTTACAGTCAGCTGACTGAGAGTCTGCAGGAGCCTGGCATTGCACCTGCAATCTGCTAAGCGCAGGTCCAATGCTTTACAGGCTGAAGAATAAAAAGATAATAAATGCACATTTTTTTATCTGCAAAAAGATGTGCATTTATTATTCTTATAATCTATATATCATTTTTTAATTTTTTTTTTTTTTATTATTATGAAAGGTCAGCGTAGCCTTTATTTGGCACACATTTCACAGACACACTCCAATATT